TTCCTACTTTGATCACTGGTGGCTGAATATGAAGCTGCCTCTGTTATCACAGCACAGAACTTCATATCAACTACAGAAAGCCAACAGCAGGCAAAGCAACAGAGCTATAACCCCTCTCCCTAAATAAAAAAACAATCAAATGGTTATGATCTGTACAGTGATACAATTCCCAAACAATCAGACATTTTCCCCCCATGGATTTAATAATTACCTTTGCACTTGAGGCTCCTGAGGAGGTATTATGTCAGTGAACACTTGCGCAATCACACAATGACATAGAACACTAAATTATGGTACTGAAAAGTGCACAACGAATCAATAACTTTTTTTTTTTTTTTTTTTTTTTTAAGCACAAGAAACCATGAATGAAGAGTTTCACATGTAGGATTAGGACTCTTAATGCCTTGGTTGCCTAACCTGAACTTTCAGTCACTCAGCCCTATCCGTGGTCCCTGATGAGAAATACTCAAGTTCTGCAGAACTCAATACCACAAAGGCAGTTTGAAGAGCTAAACTAATTCTAAGTTATCTTTGATTCTGCAGAAACAGAAGAAAGCTGTGAAAGGGAAGTTAAAATTGTAAATTAATCACCTGTTTGTTATCAACTCACTCATAATATTTTTCCTCTAAGTGCTTCACCCAATAGTTACTTCTTCATTGGTATTTTACATGTGAAAAATTAAATGCTCGGCTTTGTACAGCTCATTTTCAAACCATATCCTGAAAACTATCACCTTGAGGAAAAGTTTACCTCAGTCCCAGTATTCATTCAGACATTTCCCCTCAAAGTGCTGATATATGACACAGAATGCTGTCAAGAGCTTTTCATGTTACACATGTACACAAATTACATCATATCCAGCACAACACACTCTCACCGCAATACAGTACAAGTTTTATTCTCTTATGCTACCTAAGAAATATGGTGCTGTCCCATGCTCTGATTCTGTATTTTAACATAATGCCTTAAAAATCAAAATTCTTAAAACAAAAAAGATTAATTTGAACCAACCGCTAGAAAGTGCACCTCCCAAACTCATCTCTGACCCAAATTTGACCCCATTACCTACCAATGAAGAAACTACAGCCTTGCAAGCTGTTTTGATCTGTATGACATCGCTTTCCTGTTTTCACTGTTTTGCAGAATTCAACAGAACTACAAATACCAAGGAAATTGCCCCGTCCTACAATCAAGCTCATTTGGAGACCTTACTCCATTCATTAGAGTCACATGAAGTCTGGCTGCTCAGAGACAGCCAAATCACCTCCTTGAAACCAAGAGATGTATTAAGTTGTCTCGAAGACAAAAATTACTCGGGCTATTTTGCAATGGATGAGAGCCTCTAATTTCAATGAGATAACATACAATAAAAAATACTGTGCATACAGTAAAGAACTCTGTCATCACAAAATGGATGGAGAACGTGAAAAATTGTAATTAAAAACCCCTGCATTACTCTGACTGTGTCTCTGTGCAATACCCAGGCAACACTGAGGATGGGTGTGTGCCAGGAAGTTTCACAGTTAGAAACCAGTCCCATTGCTGGCTTTATCCAAAGGAGCACTTTTTACAGTTCCTTAGGACAAGCTCCTTCAGTCAATGGCCATGAACCAAATTCCATTCAGTTTGGTAACAGAATTCGATAAAAATTTGGGGGTTAAGAACTGTTTGTACATAAAGCTTGCAGGGGTGGGTGGGTGGGTGGGTGGAAGAGGGCAGGGAAGAGCCGAAACGGAGGAGGAAATACCAATGCAGTATGTGCTGGCTTTGACCTTTTGAACCGTAATCTTAAAGTGAGAATCTCCGAAAGCCACCCGCTCCAATTCCTACACAATACGCGAGGTACAGGAGAATTAACGTGCACAGATGCTACTCTGAAACGCCCTTTTCCAAGAGCCGGAATACAGACACTACAGCTCCTCACAGCTGCCGAAAATCGGCCATTATGCGGCCGTTCTCACGCCCCTGGCGTCGCACACCCCAGGCTTTGTCACATCCTGCTCGGGAGCCGCAGTGCCGGGGCAGGAGAGCACGGGGGCTCGCTCGGCCCGGCCCGGGGACACCGGCCCTGCCCCGCCGCGGGCCCATCTTTGTTCCGCGCGGCCCAGCGCAGGTGCGGGAGCGGGGCTGGGCCGGGAGGGACACGGCAACACCGCCGGGGAAAGGAAGGGCAAACACAACCCGATCCGCACTCCCTCCCGTCCCCGCCGCTCTCCCACCGCCCCCGAGCCCCCGGTGCGGGCACAGCGCGGTGTCCGCCCCGCAGCCCGGGACGGGCGATCCCCCCGCCCTGACCCGCGGCCTCCCCTCCCCCAGGCAGCGGGACGCGGCCGTGCGGGCCCGGTGAGGCCGGGCCGGGCTCCGCGGGGCCCCTCACCCATGAGGATGCGCATCTGCTTCTTGCCAAAGAGGCGGGAGAAGAGCGAGGAGATGGTGAGGCCCATGGCGGCTCCGGCGGCGCTGGGCGGCGGCGGGGAGCGCTGAGGGGAGGCGGGCGGGCGTGCGGGAGCGCGGCCCGGGCGGTGTGCGCGCACGGATCCCTCCGCGCGCGGGGAGCCCGGCGGCGGCGGCGGCGACTGCTCTGGCACCGGGGAGCTCGCTCGGTCTCTGCCACGTCACGCTCGGCGCGGCCGCCCCGGCTCCAACGCGGACACGATCACGTCACGCTCGCCACATCCCCCGGCCGCGGCACCGCCCTCCGCCACACGGCCCCGGCGCTCCACGGACTACAGCTCCCGGCAGGCTCCGCGCCGCCCGCCGCCCCGTCGAGCGCTGGCTGCTGCCGCGGGGCACGCCGGGGGATGTAGGCCAGCACGCCAGCTCCGCGCGGCTTCCGGGGCACGCGGGGCACGCCGGGCCGGGCCCGCCCCGCCCCGCCCGCGGGGACACGGAGCACCCGCGGCACCGGTAACGACCCCGGCCCTGAGGGGAGAGCGGGGGGAAGCAACGGGCCCCGCTGCCGGCCCGGGGGAGACAGCAGAGGGGCTGCCGGGGCAAAACGTATCCTCACAGAGCCCCCAACTGCACCCCAGTACTGACACGTCAGTAAGAAAAAAACCCAAGCTGGAACAAACCAACAAAAGGCAGCTCTGTGACAGACAGATTGCTATCCACCACTATAGCATTGCTATTTATTATTGTATTATGTATATCGTCTCCTGTGCTTTTACTATGATTAAACACAGTGGTCACTGCAGGGCCGTGTCCTCACACGGTGCCCAGGCCTTGACTAAGATCTTGTCTATTCAAAACGTGCCCTTTCATGAAAGCTTTTTTTCATAATGAACTATAACAGCTTCTCTCAGCTACTGTAAAAAGCCCATAGTATGCAGATTCAACTCCATAAAAATTTTCCAGGGAGCTACAACCTACTTCTAGTAATTAGAAACTTATGTTAGGTACATAAGGGTCAACATTTTTTGAACAGAAGGCATTTACTTACCCGCTCTTAAAGAAAAACATAAAGAATGGTCCTTAACAAGACAATCCCAAACCAGATCCTAACAGCAGGCTACTGAGTGAGCCAACTTAGGCTGTTCTTTTTGTAGAATCATAGAATGGTCTGGGTTGGAAGGGAACTTAAAAGATCATCTAGTTCCAACCCACCTGTCACAGGCAGGGCCACCTTCCACTAGACCAGGTTGCTCAAAGCTCCATCTACCCTGGCCTCGAACACTTCCAGGGATGGAACATCCACAGCTTTTTTTATGTATCATGTTGAAAGTCCTTATGCAAGTTCTAAATCACGTTCTTCCGGACCAAAAATCTGGTGTAAATTAAGATGGAAAGTTACATTTTTATAAAATTCAAGTTGCAAATAAATCATACCTTAATCTCTTTAGTTCCTAAGGTGTTAAGATGATACTGATCAACTATTAAAACTATCAGGAAATGGGAATCTGAAGAGTCCAGTTCTAGGTTTCCAACATTTATCTACCTTCTATTGAGAGCATTCAGTATTTTACACCTTTTTTTGGCCAGGAAAGTTAAGCTTCCCTGAACTTAGAGAATAATTACTGAGAATAGTTATTTTCCAGGCCTCCAAGTTGGCCTATTCTTACTGTATCTGGGTTGTTAATAGATCCCTTTCATTATTTCAGTTGTTTGAGGACAATCTAATAAACATTTGCTTTAGAAGTGATTGTGATAACCAGCATTTCAACATTAACTATCATTTACAACAGACTTTTGGTTCATTGTCCTCTATTCAGATCATGGATGTTAATATTGTTGAAGGGCTGGCTGCACTTTTACTCTATTTGACTGCACTTTACCTCATGTTTTAGTGCTTGGCATTCTTTTTACATTGTTTAGAAGACATTTGAGAAGTTCCAAAGCTTATTATGCACACCCAGTTTACTCTCCTGTTACACTGGCTGAGGCAGCTTCTTTCTATGACCTAGCTGGGGATGCTGATCTTTAGCATTTCTTTACTGAACAGCTGCTACCTCTTCGCTAGGACCCTTTCTAATCATCCAGCTATTCTGTATATCATGTAAATCAAATCATATATATATAAATATGTTTTGCAGGTTTTCTTTTTAAAGCCAGGTGAAGACTGAGACAAAGTAACTGAAATGAATAGTTTTATGCCTTTCTTTTGAACAAGAAGCTAATTCCGTGTAAGCATCTAGTTATTCAGGGATCGAAAGCAATACCAACTTCAGTAAAGAAACCTGAATTGAGCTTTGCTTGCAGTCTACTTCCCACTGCCATGTCTCTCCAGGGCCTCTTAGATGTGTACAGGAAACAGATTGAAGAGTGGATAAATTTTGCTTGGCAGCCTGTGCCTGCATTTGCTTTCTTGAGGATGCTGCAGCTCTGCCATGTTCCAACCCTGATGCAGAATCAAACCACAACACCACTCCTGGTCACCTCAGGGGTACAGCAGCAGTCTCTGCAAGCTGAACAGTTTTGCTCACAAGGAGAGGAGAAAGACCAACCAACCCAAACACACCCACCATCTAGGTCACATAACTTTCAAAGAAAAAAAAAAAACAAAAATCAAACTCTTTTATTTTCCTTTAAAAAAATACGTATTTGCAGTCATGTGATAGTTATCATAGTTGTTACCAGTTTACATGGTTCCAAGAAAGTACACAGTGCTCCAGGTTAAATATTTAAGATAATTTAGGGTATGAATGGCCACTTAAGAATTTCTGAATGAGAAATGCTATTCATCAGGTTGTGCAAAATAAATTTGCAAGTTAGCAATTAATGCTGAAGTGGTGTAGTTTAAGTAGCATAATAGATACATTAAACTTTTGGTCATGATTAATTGTATACAAAACATAACAGTACCAAAATACATTATTTTCATAAAAATACCGTTGTGACACTTTATACCTAAATAAGACATTTTTAGAAAGATGATATGAAATATTTGTTATACAAAAGCATATTCTTATAGCAGGATTATGTCATAAGTTTTTAAAAATTCTATCCAAGCACTTAAAAGCAGAGTGGTTTTTTTTACAACTGTGATCCATTTGTCATATAAAAGTATATGCTGTGTGTACACTATAATATTATGTTTATTCTACTTGAAACCGGGCAAAGTACAACACTGCATGTGGAGTAGCTGAGCTCTTCTATACCACTGAAACTTGTTCAAGAAGATAAACATCACATTCTTGCTGCTTAATGTACAAGAGGAAATTACTCTTTGTGCATGTCTGCTGGATGCATATACTGAGAATAATTTCATGCTACAGTTGTTTCTTGCCACAGCCTGACCTGTCCAGAGGCTTTTCTTAGCTGAAGCAACATCTTTTCACTCCAGCCCGTTCACCTCCTCAAACACCCGACTGGTGTAACCAGTAAAGTTAAAAGTTATAAAAGGAGCTGAACTGTTATGATCTCCACTCAATCAGACTGGGTATCAGCCAACTCTACTGAAACCACCCATTTTAAAATCCTCATTAGAACACCCCTGTGTTTAATTCCTGTGATGAACGCTGCATGCTTACATTTACACGAGCGATCCACTTGAAATCCTGGATGTCAGCAGTTTAAAACCATGAATTAGTATACAATTACTTTATTTAAGGCATGTAAGAGCACCCTAATTAACTGAAATTAAATAGAAGAGACTTCCCTTCAGGAAATTTTTTTCAGCTGCCTTCTCTTCTTTCAAGATGCTAAATGAATGTCATTTTGGAAAGATGGTAAGAAGGAGAAAGGAAGAAAGTTAAGAACCGATCTGATTATTTCAGTTGTTCCTGAAACAGTTTTGAAAGAAATGATTTACCAGTAAATACCTCAACTATAAGGTATTCTGGCCAATCACATGTCAGTTGGAGTTATCACTAGATAAAAACTAAAAGAAAAAAAAAAGAAAGAAAGAATAATCAGATACTACATCAACAGGACAGTACAGGATCAATATTGCTCACCCCTGAGTTAACAGGATTGGGTACAGCAGCACCAATGGAAAAACATTCTGCAATGCCAGCACTGCACTGTGGTCCTATACTGTGGTACAGCTTCATATGCCCACAGATTATTCTTTAAGAGCACTTATTTCAAACATTATTAGACACAGGAATCCCTTTAGTTGCATTGGTATTTAAATGGAAAAAACAGTGAAAATAGTAAAATGGGCTATACTATTAGTGCAGTCCATTGTAGTGTTAATGTACTGTTTAGAGCTGTGCTCCAAACTTGGTAAGCCACTGTCTTCTGTAAGACTACTTGCCTTTTGGTTTTCTGCATCAAAAAAGCCCAGCAGGAATCATGTTGTGCCAGTTTTGAGCAAGATGTCCTGCAAGTCATCTGGAAGTGCTAATATGATGTCATTGATGTGTGTCTGCAGCTTCTTCAGCGTGTCGGTTTTCACAGGAAGATGTTCTCTGTCAGCCTGCAACTGCAAAGGTACCAGAAAACATGATTTCTACTAGAAATGCAACTTCACCTTAAGACACATCAAAGTGATACATTAGAAAATCTGGCATATGGATTCTTCCTTTGCTTTGGACAACAGCAGGTTTCCTCAACAACCACACAACAGTGTGAGCAACACTGATTTTGACTTCAAGAAAAAAATCCACATATTTTCTTGTTTTTTGGACTTCTTCCTCCCTGAGGATTCTGATCAGCCACAGAGCTTCAATTAGTTTTAATTACCAGCAATACAATGATTCCAACATGGCTGGATGATGTTGGGGAGCCAACTAACTTTTCAGGCATGGCTCAAATTAACTGTTTTTCTCTTAAAAAACTGAATGACTGATTCCTTAAGCTGCCTAAATCATGATGAATATTTTCATTTTAGTCCTTGCAAAAACAACTATATAATGCTTCTATGTAGTTAAGTCATGTTCAATTCAGTTACTTACCAGTTTATTTTTTAACTTCAAAACAAGATCCACTGTTTCTACTTCAGTGTGCTTCTGACTCCAAAAAACCAAGTTCTAAAACAATAAAAATTAGGCATTGAAATATTTATGGCAACGTATGTAATTTCAAAAGTAGAATTAATTTACATCTACTGTTCAGAGTAAGTCTCTTTATTCCCGTGCTATTCGCTAAACTCAGGACATGAGTAAAATGTCTTTACTGTGACTTGCAAATTATTTGAATGTTTGCCCAGTGTTTAACTAACAGCAAACTTGCACATGAGCACAATACAAATAAATTGAAGGAAAAAAAAAATCTTGCCCAACAGGCTTAGTTTGAAAAAGAGCATCTACAATGCAAGATAGCAGTGAATGATTACCAAATCAGATCTGCCAGCACAATGAAATATTAAAGTAGTGCAAGGCAGGGCATTAGAGGAGATTGCAGTCAATAACTGCTAAGATATAATCTATAATCAAGTGAGTTTTCTTATGGAAGTTCCATTCCCCTATCCCTTTACTATTCACCTGTTACAGATATTTGCTCATGTAGAGAAGATGTTAACACTTGGATCAGAAGAAAAAGCAACGAGGAGCAGAATCAGTAATAAATTTTGTGACACATTTCCTTTTCTTTGATTTAGTATCAAGTATAAATTGATAGAACCTAAGTTATATAACTGACCTAGCTATTATCCTGCATATTGTTTGGGCTGCTCTATTTGAACAATCTGTTTGGGTTTGCTACAATGTACTGCCTGGGAACTGACAGGGCAAGGGATACAAACAAATGGCTTTTCCAAAATAATCAGAGCAAATTTTTTGTTTGTTTACAAGCTGTGGCATAGCCTTACTTTTTTTTTGTTCTTCCCATTCCCTCTCTAGCTGTACAATGCCTTCTCCTCCTGCAATTCATTTCTTTAGCAGTTGTTCCAACTCAAATTATCCTGATACCACTTCAGCTTCTCAGTTAAAGAACGGATCTTACAACGTAGGAACATTTATTTGGCATTTTGTAATGAATCAACAAAAAGATTTCATTTCTCAGCTTCCAATTACTATGAAGCAGTTTTAGGCTTATTCATTAAGCATATCTAATTAGTGGCCAACTTTCTGTGGTATTCACTGATTTTATACCTTCAAACTGTATCACAACTGAAAGTGAGATGCCAAGGACAGAAGCTGAATAAAATATTATCAAATAAGACGAAAAAGCTTTTTATTTTTTTTGGGAGGTGGGGTGGGGTGTGTATTCAATTGTAAAATACACAACAAACCAGAAAAGTACTAAAATACATTTTACAAACAATGACAGTTGTTGTAACAAGTGAACTGTTTTTCATATTGTTCTCTCTTGCTGTGTTAGTTCTACCTTTTCCTTGGTGAACAAGATCATGTTTTGCTAGACTAAACTGTCAACATTTTCATGTTCAGCCTAAGAAAACAGGAGTAAAACTGACTTGTGAGAGAATATATTTTTATTAAAACATGTTAAACATAATCATAAGCACAGATTTTTCTGACCTCATTACAGAGTGCTTCTAAATGAAGGGCCTCCAACTTCTGTGTCATTTCCTTCTGCCGGCTCCTAAACCAACCATCGAAATTTGGTGATTTCAAAAAATGCCTGGTAAAACACCAAAGTAAAACAATTTAGACTTTTAAGTATAATTTGGTAACACTGTTTTCTACATCACCAAATCTGAAGTAATTACATTTAGAAAACCATTAACAGATTACAGAGAAACACATTTAAGTGAGTAAAGTATTAAAGCACTATCAATTCCTATTTAAGCATACAATCTAAAAGAAGGTCTTATTAAAATCAATATCAATCCCAAGTTTGCTCAGAAAAAGAGTATTCCCATGACTGATCTATTTTCATTTATGTAATTTTTTATGCTGCTGAAAGAAGTGACCTGTAAAGTCCTATCCAATCTCCTCTTAAACCCGAGGTGAGTTGTGGTCCTGCTTTTTCCAGTGTCTTCATGAAGTCTTCTTGGCTAAACTGCCTCAGCTGTGGTGGACTCTATGGAAAGGAAAAAAATGATTTCTCATACCATAACTTTTCTCTAATCACCAATTTCAAGCTCATTCAAATGGTATTTCCTTACCTTCCATGGTGATATGCATTTCTGCAGAGGCATTAGGCTTGCCACATAACGTTCCTGGGGAAAGGAAAAGTTGTTTGCATAACCAGCATTAAAGATACACAGTCCACGTGTGTGTTTACTTATTCCTTGTGACCACAGCATTTTCCCTGCTGAATATTGGTACAGGGTGGGGTTGTGCATATTCACCACATAAGAAGACAAGAGGAGCTTATCTAACACTGATTGCATTTCCCAACTCCAACTTTATGTCAGCACGGTTCAAGAAGGACATGAGGCAAAGGAGGACAGGAAGCAAATGTGTACCTGGAATATCTGTATCCTGAACTTCAGCCACGAGTAAACAATCTCTCTTTTCTTTGGTGACAGTGCCCAGGCATCCTTCATGTTATGGGTTATTCCAAGGAGTAATCCCAGTTTGTATCAAGTGTTTGGAAGTGATTTTCAGGGTCCCTCATACAAACATAAGCAACAGACCTAACCCACAGATGCTGTGGGCATCTCTGCTGTAGCAAGGCTTGGCACAGGCATGGCCAGAGCCCCAGCGTGTCCAACCCACAGGGAGAGGGGCCACTGCTGAAGCATCGGGTGTAACGACAGCTGAGCTGCCTCATCAGCTCACACAGGCAGATCTGTACAAACTGATGATCGTTTCAAAGTGTTTGTAAGCACACGGCCATGCATTTTGATCTGTGAACATGATCAGTTTCGATAACATCATGACAAGTCTCTTTTGAAGGAACAAAGGACACTTCTCCACATACTTTTCCCGTTGCAGAGAATGTGAAGGGTGATTTCACACTGTAAACTAAGATTTATGGCAGAACATGCTTTAAGTTCCTCACGGGAATTGACAAGATGCAGGGAGGAAGCCAGGGAAAGGTTTTAGATTCACACTACATGTTCATTCGATCTCAAAAGAACAAGGAGACAAAGATGAATTTTAAAGAAAAGCTCCTCTAATCTTGAACACCCAAGGACAAACAAGTCTTTAGAGATACCCCATCTCCTCCAAACAGAAACTGGACCTCATCATGCCTGCTGTAAAATGATGAAACGTTCAGGTCATTCACAAAACATGTTCTGAGGGTACCCAGTGCCCCACTGTCCAGCTCACTAATGAAGGATATTGAGCAGTACTGGACCCAGCATTGACCCCAGGGATACACTGCTGGTTACTGCATAGTTACTGGGCTTATTCAGTCAGGGGAACACCAGAAAAGCTATTCAATATTACCGATGTAAAAACCCCGCTACTGTAAGAACTCACTAATGGAATAATGAAACTTTCTGTCAATTCCAAAAAATAGCGCCGAAGGATCACACTCTGTGCTTCTGTCGGACGTTTCTGTTGTACTCCCTTAAAAAACAAGAAAAAATCACAGTCTGTTACTCCAAAACACGTTCTTTTTAATGACTAGTTATTCCAGTGTGTCTGTATTCATTTACCATAATCCCACACATGGCGCCTCCCACCCTGAACCAAGAAAGGAAATTAACAGCTTCAAATCCTTTTGTACTCCTCTTTTCAGTTGTTGATTTTTTAAATTTTTCATGTAAAGAAATTCAAGGAAAGAAAAGTTTCTATAAACAAGTATTTGCAAAGCAGTTAAAACCTGGAAGCTCTGATTCTCACACACCTCATGCACAAGGTTTCTAGACCAAAGAGACGAGAGGTGGAGGGGGCTGGCAGAGGGTGGAAAACCCAAAGCAGATGAACTGATCAGTCCCTTCAACCCTCTGAATTATTAACCAACTTTTTGAGTCCTAACATTCTTATTGTTATAGAAGCTGCTAACAAGGCAGCAGCCCTTCTACAATGAGGGTGCATATCCATCTATTCTGTTACAAACTGGGGCAAAGGAACCAAACAATTTCATTTCAGTTACACAAAGTGCTTCCGTAAATGAAAACGCTGTACAACAGTACACAGAACACACAACCCAGTTACCATTAACAAGAGATTTACAGCATTACCTTTTGCAACTGTTTAACGATTTCTTCATCTTTGTTCAAGTATGGCTTGTAGGAGGTATAAACACCTGAGGGAAAAAAGCAGCACATAGCCAAAGGAGGAACAGGGTATGCTTTTTAAAGTTAAGATACTGGGAATTTGACTCTGAACTTATTACCAGGTTTGGAGTCCAAAGTTTTTAGGTTCTTCAGTTTTTTCACTTTCACCTGCTTTGGAACTTCACCTGCCAAAACATGTAAAGACACCTTGCTTGAAATCTCCTGCTCGAAATCTCCATCTTTATTACCAGATCCTACAGCTGATGGGCTATACATGGCACTGACTTTTAGAAATGGATACTTTCATTTAGTAGACTATCTAATATTGGAAGGAGCATGAGAAACATTGACAAGAATCCAAGTATATATCCAGAAACATCCAGCAAACACACAAAAAAGAGCATGGAGGCTTTTCACTTATATATAAGTGTTCCTTGTTGAAAATAACAGCAACAAAAAAACCTGATATACAGAAGTGAATTATCATTTCATTAATTTCATATTTTTATTCCATCTTCCTTTGTTCCTCTTAATGTAAATACTTTTGGGAACAAACCTTTTGCGCCTTGGTCAAACTAAAAATTGTATAATACAAGAAATTAAATCAGTTGCCAGGGATTAAATGTTGCAAAAATGAATTTATGTCTCCTTTGCCACAGGTCAAAGTAAAGGCTTTTGCTGTGTTTTTTTAATTTATCCTTCTCCAGCCAGAAGACCTTAAACCCTGTTATCAGTCCTGCAGCCTCAGCAGAACCTTCTCTTAAATCTATTTGGATGATCAACTTCAGAAGAGATAACAATATAAATTGCTATTGAAACTGCAGAGTGGGGAGAAAAGAAAAAAGAACAAAAAATAATCAGAAACCCTCTCTTTGTCCCTAAAGAAATAAAATATAAATTTTTAAAGCCAGACCAGACAGATACATCTCTACAAGTTCCTGACTAAGCACTTCCCATAGCTGCACCAAAACTTTAGAATTTCATACTTGAAACTGTCTATCAAATTTGAAGGCAACCTGTGTGTATGGCTTTGCAGAGTTTAATTGTTTAATTAAGATTCTATTTTCCAAACCTGAACTACATACCAGCTAAGTAACTCCTCCTGATACCCTTGACAAACCCCTAGAGGTATTCTAACCATGGACAGGCACGATATTTTAAAGTAAAGCAAAACCTTGCCTAATTATATTGAACCCAGCATGTAACCCTTAATTAATTTGTTGAATTCAGAAATCAAATTCAAGTTATTTGACAAAAATTAATTTTATGGTGTCTTATCTTAACTGCATATTTATCTGTCGCAGCAGACAGATACTTCCAGGGATTTCATACAATAAATAGATTAGTGCAGTATTTTACTATAGGCTGGCACCTGATGTGACCCAAAGAGTAAATGAAAGTTCTATTCAATCATGTAAGGAAATTATCCAACCTGAACAATTAATAATTACTGGAATATTGCCAGATTTGAAATACATTATCAAAACACTGTCAACAAACAACTTTTTATTTTACTGTAACATTCAAACTTAGTTTTCACATGGGTCTTTTGTTCTGTGCTGTGACTGATTGATTATACTCTACTCATACTAAAATTAACATCAGTAATATATGATGTCTCATTTTAATACCTTGTTGATAGAGAGACAAAGTCAGGACTGTGTGAAAGGTAAAACATTATTACTAATGAGTATCACCACCTTTTGCATTTAATATACGAGATTTGACAAGACAGAGCACTCGAGTCTAATTGCACTTGACAGATTTACACCCATGACAATTTAGTTAGTCTTAAGCTAAGTTAATGGAACTAATTTACATATGTTTGTAAATAAATAAGCCCCCGGTTAGATCCTGTTGCACAGGACTGGAGAAGATATTTATACTTTACCTGGAAGTTTAATATCTCCAATTCGGATAATGTGGGGCCAGTGCTGAAGTGTTTTAGCAAAAAAAGGATTTGTCACCCCTAGAATGACAGAGGGCCTAGAAAAGGAAGGACAGTGTTTAAAATACGACAGCAAGAGCTTCTGTCTTAATAATACAAAAGGTCAACAGCAGCACCAAATTGTATCAGTTTCTTTTCTTGCTTGTCACTCACTCAACCTTGCCCAGAAAAATCACTTCTGAGTCCTTTTGTACAAGTATGTTCACCTCAAAACATTTTATTCAAATATAGTTTTCCCCACTCATTTGAGTTGACTTTGTTTTTTTGCTGTCTCTATAATCCCCTTAAACTCATTTGATATATTTAAATTCATTTTGACTTGCAAATGTTAATTATTTTCTCGTGTCATCATAGGTGATTTACAATCTCTCTTCCAAAACAATAAAGATCAGTGTTCATATAAAGATCCCACACATTCTTTTGTTTTACTCTGAAGAATCAATTTATGATGTTTTATCTTACATTCTTCTCATGGTCATATCACAAGAATCAACACTAAAAAACACTAAAGAAATAAAAGAACCCAAACTACAGACATTCTCTTCTCCCTAGTAAGGGGTCAAGCCTAGCCCAACTTAAATATTAAATGTTCTCATGCCTATTTTGTGGGAACTAAAATGCAAGTTTCACATAGAATTAGTCTGGACCAGTGGACATTCTTTTACAAACTGGAGGCCAAGAGATCAGGAGTTAAAGTCAAGTAAGGCCTTCATTTACATACACTAGAATAATAATTCTCTGGGTCAATGTAAACTAGTAGCAAATCATGAGGAATCTTTTTTTCAGTGCTACTGGTAGTATAATAGTAAGACTTGGTAGACTACTTGGGTCACTTTTAGGAGCCTTAATTTGTCATATTTACCAGAACCAATTCTGATTTTAAACCACTAATTTCTGAAAAGGCACCATAAATCAAAACATCAAGATGAAAACCAGACCCCTGCTCACCCCTCACTAAAGGTGATAAAATACACAGAATCTGCATCATCTGGATTCTTCCCCTTCTTAGAGCCACTGCTTAAAAAAATATTTCCCACCTTTCCAAATTTTTGTTTTCCATAAGAAAGCCAGAGCAATTCCAGCTCCATTTCAAATACTAACACACAGACTGACCAACCTTTCTGTTTTGCTCCAGAGGAGCGGATGCAAGTTTGAAACATGGGTTACTGAAGTTTAACCGAATTCTTCCTGGAATCATTTTTAGAAACTAAATTACACACTGCATAACCATTCCCATGGAACATCATCTGAAACACATTGCCTGTGTTTATGTGTTTTTCCACTGCTCTATCTCTGGAATGGCACCCGTTTAGAGAAGAAGTACATTAAAAAAAAAACCAAACAAACAAAAAATTCAAACCAACAACCTCTGCCTGTTCTGACAGTAGAAGAAATTTACCTACAAAAAGATCAGCGAATTCTAACACATGCAGTCCATTGCCAAATCAAGCTACATCTAAATAACAAATAATAAGAAATATTATTCCCACTCTTAAAAATAATCTCTGAATTATTTACAGTATTATTATAACAAATCTGGTGAAGAAATATTTAATTTTAAAATTGTCTCAATTAGGACACAAAGTGAATTAACTTTACAAAACAGCCATATGGATGTTGAATTCTACAAGTCACTTTGATTAGCAGTTGATTAAAGATGAAAACAAATACCCAAATTTCTCAAACAGATACTCTGGAGCTGGTGTTCCACAGACAAATCCTTACAGAGAAGAAAAATCTTTTATTGTTTTCATATTTGCACTTTCACTTATTCTGTTGACAAATATCTCATGAAGCTCAGGAGTAGTTTAATCACAGCATTGTTTCATAACTTTGTTCTACCTAACTGCAGTGAAAACTTAAATCAGGTCATGACTGCACTCTGCAAGATAAATCTTATTAAGAAAGGGAGTCAAAACATAATTAATGATACAAGTTAAGAACAGTCAAGCAGTATTTTAACACAAATTTATGGTTACGAGTGGCTTTGAGCAGCATCATCACCACAGCCTTTGATTCACTTACGGAGCTTGTGTGCGGGTCGTGTATTCTTTGAATTCACTGTCGTGAATGGTGAAGTACGGCCTGAAATCACTGCAGTACTTCAGGGGGGAAATGCAGCTGCAAGGGACAAAGAGGACAAGCTGCTGGTATGTACTCAGTGCAAAACTGCATGAAAGACAGAAGCAAATCTCAGATTTGCAATGCTTTATTGCACTGATCAAATGAAGGTCTGCTTGGCTGGCGTCTCACACGACTCACTCAGTCATCAGTTGGAAGCTCCGCTGCACTTACCTAACAAGGGCCAACACGGTTTCTGAAGATTCTGATGGCGATGGTGCCATCACAACAAGTGGTTCTCCCAGCAGCACCAGCTCCCAAAGCATCTGAATGTGAAAGAACACCGGGCAGAAACACCTAAAACCAGATGGAGGTATTTTAATACACTTGACATAATGAGAGATCTATTTCTTCCAGTTAAGAACTGGATAAAAATGAAGTTTGCAATAGTATTTAACAGTAATTTGAAAAACACAAAATACTTCCATAAAATGGAACATTTGATGAACTTATTTACTGCAGTTTCATACTGTCCAAACTGTGTTCTAGCCGGCTTTACAGAAAAAGAACATTAAAACCAATACTGATATATTGCAAGCCATGAGATATGTGGTAAGGAACCACCAAAAATCTTTGGCTTGTGGGAATTCATAGCTAAGAATCAATCAGTCCAAGCTCCTACCTGAAAAGATCCACTTCATGAACAGTCGGCAAAGCCATGGAGATCTGAGCATCTGCCTAAAAGACATCGCAATGCTTGTTTTTTAGTCATCAGAATACCTAGGTATTAAATGAAATGGTTTCCCTTAAATGCTTACAGACAGCACATGGTATATATCCTAATTATTTACACTACTCTACTGTTGCAGTATATATTGCATTATCTCCACAAGTAACTATTTTTTTTACACTACTCTACTGTTTACACTACTTAATTATTTACACTACTCTACTGTTGCAGTATATATTGCATTATCTCCACAAGTAACTATTTTTGTGTGCTAAAAGCAGTCACTCAAGACACACACAAACCCCACTTATAGGCATGTAACTTGCAGTCCAGAAAAGATATAAAATACTGAAGCTGTTTCAAACACCAGTTACACAGCACATGAAGGCACAGAGGAATTTGTTTTATAACGATTTTCTGTGGCTAAAGATTCTTCATTCTGTTTTCATCCTCAAAAAAAACCCCCAAATATTAAAAGGATGATCAAATTACTAATTTTGTCTGCCAACTACCCTCTTCCAGGACCTGGATATCCTTTCCCACTTGGGGTAACTGGGTTAGAATATCTTCTCTATGAAGAATCCAACTCTTGACTCCTCCATTCAAAGTTGCAAAGATTGTGGATTTCAATATTATCAAATATATGATGACTTGCTACCAATCTTTTCTGAGCAAGTTTAAAGTAAAAGAAGGAAAGCAGCTCTTCAGCTTTGTCTGGGGTCATGTACAATATCAGTATCTCATCTCTACCTGGTGCATGTTCTGTACTATCGGTGTTGTTCCGGGCTTGTCACGATATGTTGGGATCCGCAACTTGGAAAGAAAAACAAAGATTTATTTTCCCTTGAATCAGATTCAGCAGACACCTAAAATGCTGACTTAGAGACAAGTTGTAACATTTTTTAAAGAGGATATACTACAGTATGATGCTTATTTACTCTACAGAACTTCCAACTACAGAATTTCTAATTGAAAACTGAATACCAGAATATGCAAATAATAGTCCAGTTAAGAAAAACTCTTGGTAACATTAGTCACAACTATTACTGTAATTTCAATAAAAATAGCTTTAAATGTTGAAAAGAATGGTCTGAAATAAGGTCACAAGGTTTTAAGATGGCACAGGATTATTTTTAGAGAAAAACCTTCCCCTAAAACATCAAACATCCTGGTGGGAGCGAGGCAGAATCCAAATAGTCTCCACGTTAGTATATTTTTCTGACCTCAGTTTGCATTTGTAAGTCTTGAGTACTACAGATTTCATCATACTGGAAGCTGATGTGCACATATAGATGTAATTTATCCACAACAATTAAAACTGTTCAAGCAGTGTAATAAAACAGGGACATATCACTGGACAGTAAATACGATTTTATTTTGTTTAGGAATGCAATGCCAGCTCTCATGGGTAAGATTTATTGTGAGGTAAATGCAGGCAATACCCAAACAAAACACACCTGGCACTCATCATCATCCAGCACCCAGAACTGCTTTATCAAACCTGTGTTTTCAGAACAGCCTCAGAAACTTCTCCCTCCTCTCCCCAGTGATGCACACACGTCTTGCCATAAACTTGAGAGAACCTGCTCAGAATGTGCTTCTGGCTGTAACCTCCAGTTCCATCAAATCCACTTAACTGCATTTCATATGATGACATCATGGCTCCCAGAGGCCCAGCTCTTAACCACCATTTAAACTCTACCACTAGATACAACTTTTTTAATAGCTTTCTTCAGACATATTTCCCTTTTACTGAAAATTATCAACAACACAAGAAATTAATTGCTGGTGTGTGGGCCAAAAAAGATTTTTACTTGTGAACCTTCAAGAAGAAGAATGATTTTCATCAATGTATTTAATTTGCTTGACTGGAATTTAATTCTCAGTATTTTCAAGTGCTACTTTATGGTTGATTTGACAAATATAATTAGCACTAAAATCTCCTAGAATGCAAATTCCAGGGGGATAATACAGACACTAAAATTAGTAGTTGTATTGAAACACTGCTTTTTAATATCTATAAAAATTAAATATTAACCTAAGCACGATAAAAGATCCTCCCCTCTTCCCCCCAGTCAAGGCACCTAATCAAGATCTCCCAGACCTTGAGTGCCATGAACATCTATTCATGTTTGGAAGCTTGAGCCACTGAAAGCAAGGCACAGTACAACAGCACCTGGACAGTAAAAGGTGGGGAAAACACCCTCAGAGAAGCACAAAGGGAGTATTTACCTTCATGATAACACCCATGATAGGCAGCTGCAGAACCCTCCCCGGAACTGGTGGCGGCCAACGATCAACATCGCTACAAACTGAAAGAAAAAACCAGTATTTATAACAGATTATATAACGAATAACCCCTGATCACAGAGTCACCTTCGTGCACACTGCAGTTTTACATTAATGCTAATAGCCCTCAGCAGTTCTGCTTGTCTCTTGATCACATAAACAAGTTGCACAGCCTTTTAGACATGTTTTTTTTCATTTCAAGAAAACAGTATCCTCTGGTCTTTCTTTTTTTTTTTTTGTAGCAATGAGACCTGCAACTGGCTGAAGAAATGTTACGTGAGAAACCAGGAAAGTACATATTGGGAAACTTGAAAAAGAACACACCTATTTCTGTGCATTAGCTATTCCAGAGCAGATGAACACAAGCAGTAAAGGGAGAAGCTGGTTTCTAATTTGGATAGAAAGTTTTTCAGCATTAACTTGCAAACTGTTCTGAATATAATTCCTAAATCTAGCATTTTCTGCAGAGCTTATTTTGCTCATAATACAACCTGTCAAGAAAACAGAAGATTAAAAAATACAGTTCCTTCATGGCTTCCACAAACTGCTGCCCAGCGAAAGCACAAAGACATGGACACTGTACAAAGAACACAGCACTTCCAGGCAAAGAGCAAATAACTTTTCCACTTGGCCCTCTCTGGCTCTTACAGCTCTGCAGTAAGGCTAAGGCACCTGCTATCAGTGCTGCTCTGTTGCTTTTTCCATTTGGTCAAAAAACAAACAAACAAATCACACACACAAAAAAAGCCTCAAGCAAGATGACATTTGTACAGTTGCTTAGCAAAAGTTGTCAGACTGCCCGAAAGGACTGGGTTTGTGAAAAGAACAAACTAAGGACTGGCATCAGCTACTTGTGTTCAGCAGCTGGTCCTGAAACACACACAACCTTTAGATGTGTTTTAGGAGGGACCTTCAGTTCCCCCCCAGAGGATCCAAAATTAGATTAGCTCTGTTCAATGATCTAGAAATCAAGCTAGTTTGTTAAAATTTCAGTCCTCTACCCTGCAAGAACACAAAGCCACGAGCATGACAGTGTTGTTTGTTATTTCTGCAGAGAAAGGATGTGACAGTGTAAGAGCTCCTCCAGAACAGCACAGGACCACTACCTGCTTCCAGGAAAGCTTCACTTTTTTCAAAATACTCTGGTGCTATTTGCTTCAGCATGGTGCGGAACAGATGCACATAAGGCAGCTTGCTGATGAGGACCAGAGACTGGAATAAAGGGGAACAAAACAAAAATAGGATTTCAAGTTAATGTTTTCCCTCAGTTCTACTGCAGCTTTGCTAGTTACCCTCAGAGGACGTCAAGGGAGACTTTTCCCACACATGCAAGACAACCACAATTTTGACTACGGGCAACTGCAGACAAACAGCTCCCTAAAGTTACCAGCTTTTTGTTTTTAAACACACACAGACAACTATCTGTTGTGACAGTGGAGCTGGAACACTGCAGAGCTGATGTGAAATTAGGCCAATTTACTATAAACCAGCAACTAGTTGAGGAAGCAAGATACCTTTCCAGTTCCTCTGAGGCCACTGAAAAATAATTAAATTTCCAAATGAGTATTTTCCTAAAAGAATTAGAATTACCTTCTGGAAATAGCCCCTTTTTAATGACTTGTCCCGAACTTGTCTGAAGTACACATAGCCATAGTAATATGCTGAATCCTTCTGCAAGAGAAAGGAAAAAATACAATACAACCACCTGATACTCTCCTCCTTTCTGAAGCATTCAATTTACAGTTTAAAAGAGTATTTCCTTGCAAGCTCCAAAGTTGATTAGACACAATAAACTAGGAGGCTTACTCTGTTTATTGGCATTTTTTTTTATTAAGTACTTCAAAGAGAAAACACCAGTGTGTGAAAACAGTTGTGCTTTCTGGCTTTACTATTTTTATATCTACATTCCCCTGACACACCATGAAACAAAAATAGAAATAACTTCCTGAGGAATAAATCAACATTTATAATTCTGCAAAGCAGCACTAAAAAGACTTTAGTAGTTAAAAACCTCAAAGCCCTGACTTGAAAAGATATAACCTAGTCTTTCAATGTATTAGTTTTATTAAAGATTCCTGAAATAGCAAGGAAGCACATTCACACTTCAAAGATAAAACACCAGCTTACTCCTTCCTACAAACAGGAATTAAAGTATTTGACTCATAAACAGATCAGTTTGAGAACCAGACTCCCACTGGCATAGCTAAAGGCCTCAATATTCCTTATGAATATGATGAGAACAACTTTTTGGCCACTACCTTTTTTAGTTAACTGTTCCAATCTTGAGAGACAGCTCAAGTTTGTTTGTTTGTTTGTTTGTTTTTTAATGAAGTTATAAAGCTCTTCAGATTTCCACAATATTAATAGTTTTTACAGTTTGATCTACAGGTTTCTAATCAATAACAAAATAGGTCTGGTTTTCAATTTAACTCCTTGCAGTCCAAAATCCATAGTAATAAAACTTAAAGAACAGCCAATTAAACTAATTATTATGATGATGATAACTATACTAACATCCTACAACAAATATTTTCTCAGCTTTGATTTTCAGGACTTCCAGTTCAGAGATTTTGCTTTTCAAGCATTAAAGGTGGTGACCCATGAGTCAACATCGCCCAAAAGAAATTAACTTCATTTTTTATTTCCAACCTTTAAGTAAACTGGCAGATCTCTATCCAATTGGTCCAGAAAACAACACAATGAGACTTTCCTTCCAGGAGAGCGTCGAAATCTAAAACAAAACTGTGTGTCCCCAAGACAACCTACACAGGGAAGAGAGAAACAACAAACACTCTTGTGAGTCTGAGCCCTCTTTAACATCAGAACTTGTTTACAGCCAATGAGGTAGCAGTTTCTCTTCATTTATCTTGCACTGCTATTGTGACCATTTATATATTCATACTGCCATAAGTGAACAATTTGGCATATTTGGCAACAGTAAATATTCTGTCTGCAACAAGGACAAAAAAAGTCACTGCCTCACAGGGACTGTCATGTCCTTAAACAGCTCAAGTGGCTGTTCTCTTACTGTTACTAGCCATTTTCTTGGTCTTCCTGTAGAGTTTCAGTCATCTTAAGCACATGTCACTTCTCTACTGACTGGCTGTGCTTTGACTTTTTTTTTGATATCAAACAGTTCATACATTAGTCACACCACAGAGTGCATTATGCTGATCTCCTACAAATCCATGTGCAGGTCTAGGGCTCATCATTTTGGAAGCTCCAAAGCTAATTGCTGAAAACCAAGTGAAACTTCAGTATGACTTCCCAGTAATACCCCCAGGGAGCGAAGTTTCCCTTAATTTCTACTAAATTTAATTTCTTAGAGAAATACGTAACAAAGTACACACATTATTTGCAGTCTGAAAATAAAATGGGGCTAAGTTTGTATCACATATCGAAGAAGCTTTTTCCAGGTGGGTCACAGGAACTGCACAATCAGTATCACTGATACTCTGGTGGCAGTGTTCTCTCCAATGTAAATAGAGAAGCTCCAAAAAATCTTGAGTTCAGGCAGAAGCTGTGCAAGCTGAAGAGAATGCTCATAGGAATAGTGGTAAAGGGACTGCCAGAACCTCAAGGACATACAGGTGTATTACTCTGTCTAGCAAGGGACTGTAAAAAAAGTCTCTTTGGAACACAGTGGTATTAACATGAACACAGCTGAAATCAGCTGAAGGCCATCTTCACTGTAACAATGTAAGTGTTCATGTAAATCACCACAAAAAAATCAATATATTATTAAATTTATAGCTACTGTTAATAGCAGCAAGTTTCTATTTTCTTCCTTGCAAAGGAGATTTGTTTCTCCATGTTGAATATAACTTCTTCTTTGGTGCTCTGCTCTTACAGGTTTGAGACATAATTTGCAAAGACCTCCAGGAAAAAATCGTGACCTCACCACTGATGACCTGAGCTCCTCTCAGCTGTCCTGTCTTAGCCCAGCCAGTGCAAACGGACTGAACAGTAGGGACAGAGCCCCATTCTTCAGGGAACTGTTGATCAACACAAAAGCTCGATTTCATCTTCTCCTGGAGCCTCATACATCAAAGTAGCAAAAGTAGCAAAACACGGAATGATGGGACAACCATCCAATTCTAACAGGTAATGAAAGCAAGTGCTCAGCAATGTGGATTCAATGGTAACAGGAAAAAGCACAACACACGCCAGTAACACAGCACTAAATATTTGCTTCAAGTTTTCCAAGCTAGTTCTCCTCATCCATAGCAAAGAAAAAAAAAACAACCAAACTATTATAAAAACCTATACACAGAAGATCTAAAAGTAAATTACCCTTAATGATTAATATGTTGAAATATCATTCAGGATATGATATCTTCCTATTTAACAAGCTCTTCCAGCAAAGACTGGCAAATGTCTGTTCTTTCTTCAACTATCCATGCAGAGAAGGCAAAAGAGAACTGTACTGGAAAACTTAGCTCAAAACCACAAAAAGTGTTATGATCTAGTAGCTGATTAAATCAATTTCCACCCCTAAGCTCATAGCCATAAGTACTGGAATAATATCTCTTTGTAGCTGTAAAAGAAAAAAGTTTAATTAATCTTTTGAGCTATGAAAACTTAAGGAAGGCTGACCTCAAATTTAGCTGCAAGCTAATAACTTCCTTCACTGCTATATTACATAAAGCTTTTCCTTTTATGTTAAGGACTACAACTTAAAAATAAATCCTACCAGATGGATACACTTTCAGCTCATTTGTGGAAGGCAGGTTTCATTCAGGTAATCCCTCTACCTCATTTGAAACTTCAGTCCAGCAAGAATGATCAAGAACCTACAGTTCTTAACAGGGACATTAAAAAAATAAAAAAAAAGTGGGATTTTTTCCTTCTGAAAGTAAACCCTCCTTACATATACCTATTGGGCCTAAAACAGCTTTACTACACACTCTTTTTTTTAAAAAAATACACAAAAAATGTTAAAAATAAATTAAAAAATTAACCTTTGATCCTAACACATGATTTTGTACCTTCAATATATCTTTTGAAAGTTTGAGGTATTTATGACTGTTACCAATGGGAGTAATAAGAAGATACAGTTAACTCATCTTCTCTTTCAATAACAGAAAGAAACTCCTCCTCTATTTACATACAGTACAGCAAGAACAGGAAAAAAATCTTATTTTTAAAACCATTAAGATAAAGGAGAAAAATTAGCCAAGATATTTTGTAAAGTTACATAGCAGAGAGCTCACACAGATTAAAAAGCACACACAGCTGCACCACCCCCTGTGACACCAGAGCTGTTCTGCTGCAGAGCATCCACAGGCACAGTGAGAGCAGTTACGGGCACGAGGCTGCTACTGCAGGTTTTAACTTTGTATAGAAATAAACAGGAAAGGAAGTGTCCGTATTTCTGCCATAGCTTTTTGCAGGTGGTCCAACCCATCAGCCACAAGCCCCCAGTTTCTCTTTGACAGCTGAAGCAGAAGATGATGCAATAATTTAGCAAGCAGGACCACACACAGCAACACAGGCAGCAAGAATGGAGAAGATACAAGATAGCCCAGGTTTTCCCTTCACAACTGTTCTTTCTAAGTGCTTTTGAATTTAAAACTCACTTTTCACTTCATGAAAAACATACACTTAGTCCTTTATGAGAAGAGGGTTCCATATCCTTCCAACTGCTTTTTTAAATCCTTCAAATTCTGTGTCTACTCTCCTCCCTACAGTCACAATACTATTATTTTATTTAAAAAGTGATATTAAGATGTTCATTCTTTACTTGCCAGGTATTCTGAAATGTCTACGAGTGTGTCATCCAGAAGGTCTCACACATTGACATTCTTGATATTTCACTTACATAAAACACCAAAGAATCCTCAGACCTTACTGCAATGCAGTTACAGCTTTATATTTAACCTCAGCTGAAACATCTCTGTATTGTAATATTAAGATCTATAAATTAGGATTTGATCTAAAGCCTAGAATACATATGTTCAAATATTATCTTTTTTAACACAGCTTAGTCCAACAAGAGATGACACAGTGTGAAGGAAGCACTTACCCGAATTAGAATCTGGAAAAGACAAATAGCAAATATTGGTTTTCTAAAGGGTGGGGAAAAGAAAAGAGAGCTGTTATATTTCCTGAAATTACTAAACTCAAACCAAATTATATACTTTTACAGCAGCCATGACTTACCTCTTTATCTGTGAGTTTGGAATGTGGAGGATATATTACCTACAGGAAAAAAAGATTTATTTTATTTGAAAATCAACCGGGTATAAGCAGTATGCTTCTACTAAATATTTTTACAATACAACACTCAAATACCTGCCTTAGAATACTTTCAATTGTAAGCTATTGATATTATGTCTCTATTTCTAATTTTATATGCTTTTAACTGATCACCCATCTTTACAAGGTATTTTGGATGTCAGTTAAGGACCATGCACATGCATTTAAAAATTCAGAGCACTTGAAATTTTTGGTGCAAGAGGTCTCAAAGGAGAGCAAGATGACATCTTTTAGATTTAACTTTCACATGCAAAATGCAGTAGATGATTCCATGGAAAGCCAACACATATTATTGTCTGCAATCTGTTGTTATGGAAAAGTTAGGTTTGAGTAATCAAAATTCAATGACAAAACACCCTCTATAGTAACACTAACTCTTGCAGGATGTCATTGGCCCCAAATGACTGCTGGGAACTGTGCAAGGTCAAGGACTACACACAAAGTCACAGCTTTTGTAGTTACGGAAAAAAAATAAATCATGTAATAAGTTTTTACAACACAGAAATCAAAAATGATGCAATACAATGAAAGAAACGGAAGCACCACCATTAAAAAAAAAAAAAAAAAAAAAAAAAAAAAAAAAAAAAAAAAAAAAAAAAAAAAAAAAAAAAAAAAAAAAAAAAAAAAAAAAAAAAAAAAAAAAAAAAAAAAAAAAAAAAAAAAAAAAAAAAAAAAAAAAAAAAAAAGATGTACAAAATCAGTGATTATGCAAGTAAGTGAGAAAAGAACACACAGGAAAGACGACAAACCAGAGATACTTAAATTTCAGGTAAGAAGTTCCTCAAAAAAAAAAACCCAATCACCCCAAAACTACTGAAATGGGTGGCTAGCTTGTAAGCAATTGAAATGTAACATAAATTCAAAGGTTATGTTTCAAAGCAGGTTTCAGGGCTTCCAGAGATGGGAACTAGTCCAAGAGCAGTTCAATGCAGGAATGGTAGCTCAGTGTAGAGTCCTCATATTACCATACCCCCAACATCCACTTATCTCATTTAATCTTGTTCTACAAAATGTAAGTAAATTTATCTCCTCATAATATAACACTATCCTGCTCCATAGAAAACAAATACACCCTCTGGCTGGTCTCTGACTAAGCAGGTTTCTGTCCCCTGGTCATAAAGCATTTTTTCCCCCCTAGTCTCTCCTGTCCAACGATGTCCAGCCACAAAACATTATTCATGCAACTAAAGCTGAAAGCAGACATATGAGTGGAACACCTGTATTCTGCAGGTAGCAAACTTATCACCATCTTCTTTCCACCTCACAATATTTTCCTTTAATATCTTATGCTAAGCAGTTCACCAGATGTAACTCCTTCAGCACCTGAATGATGCTGAAATGATCTAGTCTAGTCGGAAGACTGGCATACAAACCAGACTTGAATTCATACTCCTTTTCCTCACTAGCTGGTGTATTTTTCCAGAATTCTAACTTAAACTGAAAGCTAGTTATTCTTCCTGCAGCTATATATGGAAAAAAAAAATTTAAAATCAGGCCTTAGTTATGTAGACACTTTAAATTTCATTTTATGCATGCAGTCAAATTAAGGGCACTGTTAAGTCTGCAGCCAGGCCAGAGTCTGTGCTTGCCTCAGCCACCAAGCACATCCCCTGCCCAAGTCACAGGTTACGCAGAAACAGTCTTTGTTGCTACCACCACCTTATAACAGCAAGGGAACCGAGCTCAGACAGTCAGCACAGTATGCTGGGGTTTTATTTGCATTTCTCATGCAGCCAGCAATGTGTAGCAGTTATGTATTTTACATATTACAATAGTTGGCTTGGCTGAATTTTAGGCCACTCAGCCCTTTAAGAGGACTGAAGGAAAGGAAAAGACACTTTCCCTGCACAACCAAGAGCTTGCTACTAAATCACATGGTGAACAGGGTGAAACAGGATGTGAAACCGATGTGAACGATAATTCTCTCCAGTTTATTTTCCAGCTGTGGGCTCCCTGTGCATTCCCAAAGCAGTGCCGCAGCTGTCTGTGCTCTCTGTACACTCCCAAAGCAGTGTCCCAGCTGCCTCTCCCTGTGCTCCCCGTGTATTCCCAAAGCAGTGTCCCAGCTGTCTCTGCCTGTTGCACAGAGGGCACAGCTGGGAGTCACTGCCCCGGGCCGGATCCAGCTCGAGCTCATGGCAAACGATTCAAACGTGCAGGGACCCTGTTCACGCTCCCCAACGACCCGGTGAACGCTGGTAACTGAGAAGACCACTTGCATTCCCGTTACCGTCACACTCTTTAAACATCTGTAACACCTAGACGCCGTAGAAATCAGCGTCCATGGCATGTAAAGAAAGCCGATGATGTACTTAACACAAATCTTGGCACGCGATGAGAACCATTCCCAAGGGCCCGCTGCCAGGACAAACCGGCACAGTGGGAAGAGCTGCCGAGCACAACCCGCCTCACCCGGGACAGCCGGGCCGGTTCCCCAGGGCGCTCCCCGCTCTGGGGCTCCGCACAATCACGTTTCCACCAAGCTTTTCCTGCTCCTGTGCAACCCCGGGGCCAGAGGAAGCGCCCGATTCCGGCGGGGCCCCGCCGCCAACGCCGCCCGCCGCGGAGCCCCGCACGTACCTCCACGGCCTGCCCCAGCTCCAGGTCGAAGCCCACCACACACACGCAGTGCAGCCAGGCCGAGAAGCGGTCCCAGGGCAGCAGCGACAGGCACTGCTCGGGACTCTCCGGCTCCGCCGGCGCCGCGTCCTCCGCGGCCGCCCCGGCGCCGCCCAGCCCCGGGTGGGTGTCCGGGCCCCGCTCCCGCCGCGACATGGCCCCGACCCCGGCCCCGCCGCGCGCACACACGTGACCGCGCCGCACCGCCCACCACCCCCCCGCACCGCCCGGAGTGGGAGGGGCCAAGCGGGCACCGAGGGGCGGCCGAACCAATCCTGCGGGGAGCGGGGGGGGGGAGGTAGGGGCGGAGCGCCCCCCAGCGGCCCGGCCCGGCCGCTCCGAGCGGGCCCCGAACTGGCTGCGCAGCTTCAGGGGGGGCTTGAGACACAGCAACCCCCGAGAGCCCACGATACAATGTTTCTGCTTAATAAAGTTGCTACTTTATTGCTACTTTATGCCGTGGGGGCAGTTCTGCAGGCAGCTGACCGCAAGGACACGATCCCAGTTTTCTATTCCTCCTGGGCAGGTCAGTGGCAGCCTCTGGCTCGGGACGAGGTGGTCGCTAAGGAATTAACAGGCACACCTGCATCTCATCCTACACAACGCTGAGCACCATTCACAAGTCAGGTGGAAATATCTCACAGGCTGATGGTTGGACAACTCCCTCACAGGAAATTGGGATAAATAAAAAAAGCATCCAAATCTCTTAAAACCTCTTTTAGCGCCTTAGCCAAAATCCAAGCTCTTTATTTAATAATGTAAGAGCTTTCAAATACTCCTTTAGCACTGTCCATCTCCCATTCACATTTAATTAGGAAACATTTTGAAGAGTTAAAAGTGCTAAGTAGCTACTTTATTAAACAAAAACACTCCCCCCTCCTGACCTGTAACTCGTATTATTATTTAATTATTCACACTAGGCTTCTGGTTGACTGCTACTAGCACAGCCTCGGCAGCAGTAAATGCAGACGGGCTGCTTGCCTGAATCACTACAGGCTGGTTTTTGTTTTTTTTTTCTGGATAGGAGTTGCAAATATTAAAACTGAGATACCACATCTATACATACTTAAAATTTATGACTCTTTAGATGCACTGTTTCCTTAAGACCCATTAACAACATTTGTTTATCTATCAAAACCAAACTGCTAGAAATTAAAGCGTGCTTTGATCGTTAGAGTAATCTTCTAGACAAAGGAGGAACAAGCATTTAACTCAGACAAAATTATAATACACAAAATTATTGTGGTAATAATTTAAGATATAGCAGCCTTCAGTTATCGTAAGCCATTAGTGGCAAAGTGGATGTCAGATAGGAAGATAGGAATGGGGTTCTGCAGTGCAGCCTGAGTAGGGCTGTACAGGAAGGCTCTATCTGTGCCTGCTTCAGGTATTTTATCACAACACCATGCAAGACTCACACATTTTTCAAGTAGTTAACTCCTGGGTTCTGTATAAGGTCACTATTCAAAATAAGACATGACTAAGACCGAGCTTCATCGGGTTAAACTCAGCACAATAATTCTGCAGTGGTATTTCATTTGCTTTTTCTATGTGAGAGCTGAAACAGGGCCTGGCCAAAAGCTTCATCGCTTAGTTTAAGGAAAGATACCATCTCTCTGCTTCTTACAAGCCTTCCCTTGTTTACATTTTTATACTTTTCTTTGTTTACATTCTTACTGTCCTAGCCAAACTATAATTTTAGCTGTTATTATCGTGCATGTCCTTTTTGTTTTTGCTGGCCTCTATTTGTAAGTTTTCATGTAAATAAAAAGTACAAATGAATATAAGTAAAATAAGAAGAATAAAGAACTTAGCAAGAGTTATATGCTCTGCTCATTTTTTTAAACAATAACAAGTAAATTAATTCCACTTGATGCTTAACAAATAATCTTTTGGTAGGATAAAGTTAAGAGAATAGAGACACAAACTTTAATAAAAAAGTCACTGAGAAAGAGAGGATTGTCATCTTCTGGAGATATTCCCAGTTAACAGGGAAACACTAGTTCAGGACGATTTTCACCTAGCCATTTCAAATCCATTTTAGTTTTCATAAAATGTGATTATCTTCCTCAGTTGAGAAAGAATATCTGTTGTTTAACACAATAAAAATATTTCTGCATATATTTCAAGTATTGTAACATGTAGAAACAACTGAGACTGCTTTCTCCTACAAGAAGTGTACCAGTGCAGGATGAAATACAGACTTCAAAGCTGGGCACCTATAAAATGAGAATGCTTAGCTACAACTTGCAATACTGACTCATGAAACAGTCATCTGCATATGGAATGTGCCCTTAGAAATCTCCATGAACTCTGCCTTGTTTTGCAGAAAAGCAGTGATCTGTTCACGTAAATATTCGGCACAGTTTGGACAAGAAAGTCTTCTAGAAAAAGCGTCCTCTGTGATGTCAGTTGCTGGAATAAAAACGAGAATAGGCCTGTGTGGGGACAGCTGGATTCTAAAGAGCCAAAACTCTTTAGCGTTTGAGCCTGTCTTGCTTTCTTCCACCCTCTATCTTTCACCTACAGCTGCCATCTCCAGAGCTGCATCCCGCCTCCCTCAGTGGGATGCTTTCTATCAGGTGGCAGCAAATGCTGTGTTGGCTGCTGGCTGGCCTGTTTCCATCAGCTTCAGCAGGGAGTGACTGTGCAGACTGCTCACATCCACGGAGTAACACCAAAGAACTGGATAAACATCATCTGCTCACCTCACCTTCCCTCCTCCACCACCCGCCTTCACATTCCAGTTTAAAGTGGTACTTCATCTGTATTTGAAAATTAGCTCTGGTTCATTTGGAACAAGTAAACACTCACCAAAACTGTCATAATTATTTTTAAAGCATTTTTTCTATTTTTCAGACAGATACAGAAAACATCAGACATTTCAAAAAGTCAATTTTAATATTGACTTTTTATTTGACATATTAAAAGAAAAGCAATTAAGGCTGGTTACACGATGACTCTTATGCTCAAACAGTAAAGTAATGAAAATGCCAGATATATCAACTTAGCTAATTTCATTTGAAATTCAGAAACACTGTATGTAACATTAGTTATATATTAGCATAATACTGTATTAATGGAATGCCTATTACATTATATTTATATATATACACAAAATACATGTATTATTAACATAAAATAAAACATAGATTGTATATATAAATAGATAGAATATATATAGCATAATAAACATTTTATATAATTTCATAACATTAACATATTTGTTGCATAACGTAAATTGAATAGTATATTCAGTATATGCTTACTACATATATTCCATTAATGTAACTGTCTATTATGTTGGTAAGACACTCATTTCTATAATGGGTACAAGTATCTTTTAATAAGCTTAACCAAGACTAGAGATAGGAACAGGGAAGGATCTGAAAGAAAATGAGATAAATGGAAAATCTACCTGACAAGAGAGGATTAAACTTTCAAAATTAATGCTGAAAGATAATGTAATTGTTCTTTACATAATCAGTTACAGAGTTAAAATATCAGGAACAGAAAGTAAGTCTGAAACTAAAGAACAATAATAGCATTAAAATAAAAAAGTGTAACCACTTCACTAAACCTGGGGTGATAATTAGAATAAAATTTTTAATCACAGGAGAAAACTTCTCTGAAACAGATTCTTTCTTTTTAACAAGTTCAGCTTGATTCAGAACATTTCAGAAGCTACTTCTGAGGCAAAGTGGTTTTGCAGAATATACATTAGTATGTAAATAACAGTTCAAACTTTGATATACCTTTCCACATGTGGTAGTAAATGCCTTCATAGATTGTAATTTTAAAATGTGGTATGGCTTAAAAGAGTGCAATTATACATAGAATTTGTTGTGTTTCTGAAAACCAATACAAAATTGATTTGGTCAATTGCTTATGAATGAGTTTCACGGATGAGAACTCCATAGAAAGCTGAGCATTTCCATCTGTCTCCTTACCTGTCTAACAAACACTATCATTTTGCTTCGTAATGTTTTTACTAGAAACTGAACTTTTGCTATACAGCATGCATCTGTCATTCCACATGTAACAATCCCTCGAGGCAGGATCTCCCACTAAGCAACTGGTTCACAACACCTCTCCTCTGAAAATTTAATCTGATACATGTTAATTATTTTGGTAGCCTGTTATACCATCACTGCACAGTACTCAGAAATCTGGCACTGAGTTTCCTATAACCATGCTCAGTGTTTTTCTTTTTCAGCCAGTTACACTCAGCTTAGAATTCCCCACAGGCTTCCTGCAGCAAAAGATCTCATTTTTCATCAAACCATTAAGATTCAACACTCTCAAACCAAACTCCACGTGTTTTTTCAGGTATGCACATGAACTCCCTCTGCTGCATTTCATCCTCCTGACACAGACACCAGCTCTTCGGGGGACAAATGTTCCCTTCCCCTTCCCTTCCCCAAGATGCCTATGGAGAGGCTGTTTCTGCCCTCAGCTAGGACGACTATCATAACATTTTTATGGACTTCCTGCCCAGAAAAAGGATGGACACCTCAGTGGGATCCTGCTGCCCTTACCCAACATGGCTGCGAGGTGCTCTGCCCGTTTCAGCTGTCACAATGGTTTGCAGAAGCCAAGCAGAAGCTGTCACATCCTCCTCCTCCTCCCCCAAGCATAGCACAGCCCTTCACACCAAACTCTTCATCCACCTGTTGCTTCCCACAGTTCTAAGAGGGACACTCTCTGGTAAGCATCAAACACCTCATAAAGTACTCATACAGTAATTGGTATCTTCATTTCAGAATGCAACCGCTTTCTGTATTTTCAGCTTAGCCTATGACTCAGCCCCTGATAAATTCTGAACTCATTAGGCAATTTGAAATAGGAGTTTAAAAGTATGAAGGATAACTAGACCCATCCAGCTCCTCTAAGAGCTGGCACTCACGTAGAGGAGGGCTCAGATTAATGCCCTTGATGAAAAGTAACTCGGTTGTTACACGAGGCATTTGGCAGTGCCAAAAAGAGCTAGAAAGGCAGCTGGCACATTCCATTGCTTTCCCCATGAGACTGTCAAAATGGGATTTCTCCAGGGGATGAAGAAGGGTTTAGGATACCAGCTATGCCAGTGGCTTACAGTTTAAAGGACACAGATGCTTAGAGTATTAGTTTGTTCCACTGCTCGCAGTGAGGCTTGGGAAAGACCCTGTGCAGACAATACAGTATGGAATCTATTTGAATCTCAATAACAATATCTAAAAATTACAAATACTTAGAACATCAGAAAAAGATGTCCAGTGCTCAGTTTATTATTTTGACTCTGTTCTCTTAGGTCCTGTAGATGGTAATGGATCTTCATCTCTAATTTTACTTTCAAGCTCCTTTCCCCATTAAACACACACATCTCATAAACATTCTTTTCATTCCACCTGTATAACCACTTCATAACACTTGTAGTACCCACTGAACCAACACCGGTAGTACCCCTTGTTCCCACTTTTTCCACCTTTGCAAATCCAAAGTGCTCTCCATTACTTTTACTTTCGTAACTCTCTCCCTCAAATACAATGCCTAATGGACTTCACGTTCTCATGTTCATGTCCTTTTTCTTTTTATATCCCTTTCCTTCTCCCCTTTGATTACTTATGGCACCTTGTGTGCTGTAAGAAATAGGCATACTGAACTTGCATTTATTAAAAAAATTAGTAAGTTAGGATTATATGTATCCCAATAGTATAATCTTGTAAACAAGCTGATGAAAGTCGTGAAGTCATGTGCCAGCTATTTTTTTTGTTTCCTCCTGTCAGGAAAATTAAGATTATGGATAAACAATCCTAAAACTTCCATCTATCAGATGTTTTTTTTTGTGTTCAAAAATCAGACTTGTCTTTAATCTTGAATTTAATTTTTTTGCTTCAAACACAGATGCTCCAGTCTGGTTGTGCTGTCTTTTTCTCATTGGATTATTAGAAGAAAACTAGGCTGTAATGAATAACATCCCCCTTCCCCAAATCACAGTGCAGTCAAAAAGAAAGGGAAAAAAATTAAGATAGCTCCTGAGATTTTCCTGTGCCACAACTAAAACCACTCGTGCCTTGTGTCTCACACAGCACTGCCTTACCTCGATTCTTGCTTTCCCCCTCGTCCCTGGAGCTGCCTGGCCCTGCTCCACTCCTCTCCTCCACGCTACTTTCTGCCATCAGAGAACTCTCCCATGTCCCTAATCCTAACACCTTGTCACAGGGTAATTATAGCGCTGGCACAACCCCAACATCTATCTTATATCCAACAATTTCCACTTGTTTGCTCAACAGGGAATGACGGAATTAAAAATGAATTCGGACCGGAGAGACCCGTTCAGCACCAATGACCTTGACAAAGTCACCTTTCCTTGGCTTCTAGAATATGGGGACAAATATAATCAAAGATGATGCTCCGTGACTTACTGAGGGAAGACACTGCACCAGTGACCCCACCCCAGTCCTGACCCTGTCCCTGCAGTCACCGCTCCAAAGCTCCCCCTGGTCCAGCTGCCAATTTGCAACCAGAGAAGGCAAATAGGGCCAGCATTCCTCCCGCCCCGGGACACGTCAAACCACACTGCGGCTTCCAGGGATTTCAACCTGGGATCATAAAACGAGCAGAAGAGCACGGGGAAGGCAGGAGGATGCCCAGGAGACTCCTGCGAGCTCTGCTAAGAATGTGTGGCCCCATGTTCTCCTCAGAGCTCCCCTATTCCACAGAATCACACAATACCCTGAGTTGGGAGGGACCCACAAGGCTCACCGAGTCCAACCATCAGCCCTGCACAGGACACCCCAAGAGTCCCACCACGTGCCCGAGAGCGTTGTCCGAACACTCCTTGAGCTCTGGCAGCTTTGGGGCCGTGACTGCTTCCCAGCGAGGCCTGGTCGGTGCCCGACCGTCCTCTGGGTGAAGAATCTTTCCCTCATATCCAACCTAAACCTGCCCTGACACAACTCTAGGCCGTTCCGTCTCCCTTTTAAATAAGGTCTGACGGGCCCCGCTCGCTCCCTCCCTCCCTCCCTCCCGGCCAGGGCACAGCCGAGGAGAACGGGAGGGGAAAGCGACAGCATGGGGCCGGGGGCTCACTCACCTCAGCTCCTGCCCCGTACTAACACGTCCCAGCCGCGCCTTTCCAGCAATAGCCCCTCTCCCCTTTTCCCGCTCCCCTTTCCCGGCTCATCCCATCGTGCCCCCCGCGTTCCCCCCCGCCCCATCCCCATCCCAGCGCCCGGAGCGGGGCGGGGCCCGTGCGTGCCGCAGCCTCACCGCTCCCAGCGCGCATGCGCGGGGCGCGCCGGTGCGCACGCCGCCCGCCCCCGGCCCCGCCCCGCCCGGCCCCGGCGCCGCGGCCACACCGGGAAGGGCTCCAGGCGCTATGGCGGCGGCTGCGCGCAAGGTAAGGGGGGAGCGGGCGCGCCCCGGGCCGCCCGCGGGGCCTCGCCGAGCGGGACCGGGGCCACGCGTGGGGCCGCGCCGAGCGGGACGCGCCTGACCCGGTTTGTTTTCGGCCCCGCAGGTCGGAGGAAAGTTCCCGCGGTCGGCGGCCGCTTGAGCGGCAGGAGCGACCGAGCGGGAGCGCCCGGGCCCGGCCGCCAGGCCTCTCCCGCCGGCGGGGCAGCGGAGCGGCGCTGGGCGGGCGGAGAGCGCGGGGGTGCGCAGCGGGCCCGCCTCATGCGCAGCCACCTGCGGAGGGGCTGAGCGGAGCTGCCGCCGCCGCGCCGGGGGCTCCTGGCGGGCACTGCCCGGGGCAGCCCCCGCCCGCCCCGGCACCGCCGCCGCCGAGGGACGGACGGACGGACGCCGGCCCTGCCGCCGCCAGAGTCACCGCCGGGGAGCGACCTGTCAGCGCACCTCACAGGCCGGCCCCGAGGACCCTTCTCACGCGCTGGTTTGTCCCCGGGAGAAGGAGAGTTGGGAGCTCTCTCCATGCCTTATCAAGTTCCTTATCTGAGCGGCTGCCAGGCGCTCTAGACCAGTTCGACTTTATCTGGTGCAGGGGAGCAAAACAGTGTATCTCTCGCACCCCATCCCAAATCGAGGACCACCTATTTTGCCGTATTTTAATTCACGAAGATGCTGAAATGTGGATTGCCGTGCGAAGCAGCTAGATCCCTGTTGTGGAGCGAGGGCTTCGTATTCACCTTCCAGCTCCCGGTCTGTGCTCTGTGAGAGAGGACACTAATCTTCCTCCTTCATCCCTCTTCCCTAAACCTTTCCTTGCTTCCATGTTGCATTGGTCAGACTTTTGGTCAGTGTTGTTTACGGAAGGGGAGGGGAAAGAAGGCAGTTGAGGTTACAAACAAAAGTACTTGTATGACTCATCTACTTGGATTTAAGACATTATATCCTTCTTTCAAGGGGCCTTTGCTTCTCTCTGAAGGAATCAGATGCTTATTCCTATTCTTCCAGAGGAGGATGGATTGAAAATTGTCCATTTTAGACTTTTTTTGGGCCACTGCTGATATTATTAAAGACATAATGGGGCTTTTTCACTGGATTATTGCCAGGATTAGTTTACACACTGAAACAATGAGTTGTTAGGTCTCTCTTACGATAATATTTGTCCTGCTTTAATATAAAGTTGCTGCGGAGGTGCATTTAAAATTGTGGAGGACAGTCTGCATCAGAAGAGGCTCTCTTCGTCTCTGGTTGGTGTGGCAACCAGCAATCTGTCCTCGATGCCTTCAGCCTTGGCCATCTTCACTTGCCGCCCGAACTCTCATCCGTTTCAGGAGCGTCATGTCTACCTGGACGAGCCCGTCAAGATCGGCCGCTCCGTGGCTCGCTGCCGGCCAGCCCAGAACAACGCCACGTTTGACTGCAAGGTGCTCTCCAGGAACCATGCTCTTGTCTGGTTTGATCACAAGACAGGCAAGGTAAGATGTTTTTCTTTGTTTAAAAATATTCTGAACGTTGGCTTTAGCAAGCCCCTCCAGGCTGCAGATCACCCCGCTTTTGCTGTGATAAATATGGTTGCACGTGGAAGGAGTACAGTTTGTGTTAAAATGATTATTTTTCAGGTAAGTTGGTGATTTCTGACTAAGCAGAAACTTTAAATAAAGCACATAAAACTAACAATTGAAAATAGTGATACGTACTGAAAAACTTGCATGTGTATTATTCATTGCTGGAAGTAGGTGATTTTCAGGTGAGTCATACAAGTGTGAAGGTACAGGCTTGTATCAATATATTGGTGCAATAGTATTTGTTCAAATGCTGAGAAATTACCGTTTTATCTGAGTGTGGGAATAAATCTTGTTGTGAGGAGTGTCAAAAAATGTCTTTAAAAAACCCTACTGTGTTTGGTACCCTCACTCTTCCTACTCATCCTTTTGAAATTTTATAGAGTATTTTGTTTTGGTCTGGTAGAAGTTTTGTTACTGGTAGCAGGAGTGTAGCAAGTGGCATACAAGGTGTATTTTCTCATTGATAGAGAAAATGGTTTTAAAATACATCCTGTGTTGCCTTCACCGTTCCTCTCCCAAGGCTGGCGATCTTGTTCAGTGAAATTGAGGGGTTCTGTAGTGCGTGTTTTGTCCACTAGGGATTGAACTGGGACAAGTAAAGTTGTTTTACTTTGTGACTGTCAAGTTATTTTTAAATATCCAGCAAGAAATGAACAAAGTGCAGACCTCAGTTGATCAGCACTGTATTTTTTTCCGAATATATTCATGTTACACCCTGGAACTTTATGTGCTCTAGATCAGCTGATTGTTAACTTTACACCATGCCCTTCTATGAAATGCAGTCAGTTTAGCTCTGGATTTTAAGAATAATGTGGTCTGTAATTAGTGCAGGTTTTTTAGTAATATGATGCAGCATGAGGAGCAGTGCAAGGCAGTCAAAGTTCTTAAACCTTCCATTGTTAACTATCCCGTGTTATGCAATACTTGGGCATGATGGGACAAGACAAGCATTTAATTTCTTAAGGCTGGGTTATGGCATGGCTTTCAAGTTACCTGCAGGTAATTGTGCAAACTGCTATCTGTATGAAGTGTCTCATTAAGCATTTTGCTTTGGCTCTGCTGTGTATGTGATGTGCATTCTCAGACACTTGAAAGCTTAGATGCTTGAAATACTTTCAGTTTAAGCTTAGTTTTTAACATTTCTTGACTCAGCTAAGTAAAATGCTCCAATTTATTGTGCTGTCTTTAAATTAGAAAATGTTATGCAGATGATGTAGATTTTTGTCAACATTTCTCATGGCTAACAAAGATTTAAGACCCCCCCCCCCCCATGCTATATTATGTTTACAAATAGTCCAGCCATATTTAAGATGGTTAATTTGACAAAGCACTGAGTGTCTGCTGACTTATAGACTAGCTTCAAGGACTATCAGCTGTGGGTTTCTTGGTTTGTTTTTAAATTTCAGCTAGCTTTGGCTTTTCTAATGTAGGTCAAACTTTATATGCTTATTCATTTCGTCTGTCTGTTTTAAAGTAGCAGATTGGCAGTAGCAAGTAAGAGGATGATACGTGATAGCTCTTGAGATTCCATGTGAAGATTTGGTGGGGGTCTGATGAAAATTGCCCAGGTGGGGATCTGTAGCCACAGTGGAGTGTTGCATGTTAGAGGTGGTGGTGCTGTAAGAGGTCAAAAGCCTTGGTACAGCAGTGTGGAGAATTTCAGATTCTGTGTATGTTTCTTGGCAACATGGTCTGGTTTTTCATCTGGTAGAGTATCTGAATTGTGAGATGGTTGGAGGAGAGGGGTAAATGCATCATTAGAGATAATGGATATCAAATGCTGTTGTGAAAAAGCAGGTGGAAGATATTGATAAATACAGGCTTGATCCTGAATCATAAGAACCACTTTAAAGAATTCTGTGGTGTTTTCAAAATACAAACAAAAACTATGCCAGAACATCTGCATGCAGGAACATATATTATCATTGTTTACAGAACTGCTAATAGGCACATCTCGTTTAGGAAACTGTCATTATCCTATCAATGACCTAAATTTAAACCTGCTCAAATTGTTTTTGTCATGGTGTTTGTAAACATTTTTTAGAAGCTTATATACAGGTCCTTTATCAATTCTGGGTTTTTTGAAAGATAAAAGATACTGAAATGTTAATTTAGTAACAGAATAATTCAAAATGGTTCATGAGTGATCTGGAACTGCAGTTTCATTAGTTGTGGACTTTGGCCATACCAGTTTCTGGCATTCCCAGTCGCTCGGTCTGCTCTGTGCTGCCTCTTGAGCTGCCTTTCAGTTATACTCTAATAGTCCTTTTTTTTTTCCCTGAGGGTTTGGAGTTCTGTTTTATTTTAGTGAAGCATGTGAGTGATCCTGTTTACTACATGGTCTGTAAACAATTTTATCGGCATAATCTCTAAAGAGGGGTAGAACCCCAAGAGAGAGAGCATCAGTAAACAGTGGCAAGGGAACTCCACAGTGTTTTTTCTGAGGCAGAGGTAGGCATAATTTGAAGTATGTCACATAAGTAGACCAAGTTGAAGATGACATGTTACTTGCAGTTGAAAGATGTGAATGTTTACTTTGTATAAAGGCACTTGAATTATGCATGGAAAAAGTTATGTGCTCAAGGAGATAATGTGTATGTAACACCAGCATTATTAAGGATGAAAGTAGGATGAGTTTTCAGGATCACCAGTAAATAGCAATTAAAAGCAGATACTTAAATTTGGATTTGCTTTTTGAAATATTTTTAACATAATATCTAAGCTTAAATGTGTGTAAGATGAAGGTGGGAGGAGATAGTGGTAGGATTATCTGTGCTTGGACTTTTTCTGTGTTTAGTAATACTTTTATAGACAACCAGTGAAATGCCTCTTTTTTGCTTTTGTTTGTAGGTTGAGCACAATAACCTCTTACGAATTTTTCATATAGTGATGGAAAACTACATTTGGAATTAATTTTTTTTCATTTTTTTAGTAATTACAAGTTAATCAATCTGGGTTTTTTTAGAGATGCCTGAAAAAGTGAGTCACTAGATATGTAGGAAGTAGATGTTGTGCTGAGCATGGAGTGTTCCCAAAAGTGTGAATCAAAGCAAAAGGAAAAGTGGGCTATAGTTCAGAAAATGTAAATGTGTTTGTTCAGCTTATATCACTGCATATAGGAAGAAAGTCTTTCAAATTGCTAAACTGAAATAGTCTTAAAGTTTGGCTTTTTTTTCAGCTTTGTTTCCATTTTTAAAAATAAGCAAGTGGAAAACCCTGGAGAATTTGTATGTGACTTCTCCCAGGCTGAAATGCTTCTGACAGATGTGGTAGAAGCTTTTAGAAGAAACCTGAAGCTTCCAGCAGATATCCAGGCTTTCAAAAATTGGAATTATTCAGTGCCTTAGATTTGTTGTGAGTTGCTATTATAAGTACCTTTAATAGGGAATTCATTGCCACAGTTTGCCTAAGGAAACTGTGAAAAATAAAGTATTTTCTTAGATCAAAAGGACTCCAAGTAACTGGTCATTTCTAATAACTGAAAAAAACATGTGTAGGCACAAATTTCTCTGTTAATGGTATCCAGTAGTACTGCTTTTGTTTAATTCAAAGTGAATATGAGTTAAATTGAGCACATTTGTAGTATCTTGGTGACAGAAACACTGACTAGTATGTTGGAAGCCATAGTCCACATAATAGTAAATGAAATTTATTAAGGCTGTGCTTTATGGCTTCTAGACTTAAAATATGTGAGAGAAAAATGTTACAGGATACTTCCTGCACCCTCTTTAAGGAAAACAAACACAAACTTCCCCACTCCCCAGGAAAAACCCACCCCTCAAAAAACTTCAAAACAACAAACCAAAAAAAGGACAAAATAACCAACCAAAAAATCCTAAACCCCAACAAACCAAACACAAACAACGAACCCAAAACCCAACACCTCAAAGCAACCACCCAAAGGTACAGCCAGGGAATTACAGACTGGCTGGCTTGCTTTGAGTCCATGGGAAAATCATGGAGCAAGATGTGAAACACTTTTGTGGGCACATGAACAAGATGGTTTGGTAGTGGTCAGTGTGGAGTTGACAGGGGTAAATCATGGCCTGGTGAGTCCAATTGCACTGTGTGATGACTCATTTTGTGGGCAGGGCACACTCTCTGCCCTGCCTTTAGCAGGGCTCTTGGCTGTTCCCACAGTGACCTGTGTAAGTTTGGGCACTGCAGTCTGGGTGTACGAGCGACTCGAGCAGTACAACAGAGCTGGTTTGGGATGGGGCTCCGTGGGGGTGCTGGGCTGGGGTGCTGGTGCCGAGCAGGATACGGGGTCAGTGCTGTGAGCTGTTCCTGTTCAGCGTTATTATCAGTGACTCGGGGGACACAGTGAAGTTTAGTCGAGTTTGAAGGTGACACTGTATCTGTTGGTGTGAGGGGCAATGAGCTGATATGCTCAAGGGCACGGCTGCCCTCCAGAGGGACCTGACCTTGCTGGAGGAATGGGCAGACAGGAGCCTGAACAAGGACAAATGGGAAGTCTGCGTGTGGAAAGGAAGAACCCCTTGCAGCTTATTAGACCCTGTCTGGGATACTGCATCTGATTTTGGACCACCAGTGCAAGAAATACATTGATAAACAAGAGTTGAAACATTGGATGGGTTCTCTTTGTGGTGTGTTGTGCTAAGGATAAAAGTATATTGATCATGAAAGAAAGAAAAAAGGAAATATGTTTTTCACTCAACATTAAGAATATTTTGTGGATATCAAGAATTTGGTAATATTCTGGTATTATAGAGCGCCTTCTCTAGATATCCTATTTGTTCAGAAGTATTTTAATAAATCTATCTTAAAAATTAAGTGGGATATGAAAAATGGTATTTAGAGCTGCAGGATTTTGGTAGGAGACTTTTTTCCTGCTGCTTCCAATAGAGATTCCTCTATGATACTCTGGCCTATTTAGTGTTGATCTGTGC